TAGTGGGTACATCTCGGGGCCATATAATGCCGTTTGGAACCATATATAATCATTATATATTGTCATAAATGTTCGTGGTAGGCTTGAGTTAATTAAATCGGTGCAAGTTATAAAACGGTAAATTAGTCGTTTAAAGGCAAATTGGACTGTTACACCCACCCAATTGGACTCGCAGAGGGAAATAGGGACAATGGTAAACATTTCGGCAATTTATATTTCCAGGATAGAAAGTCAAAAAATTCCAAAATTGAAGGCTAATATCCACGTTTCTTGAAAAACTTTGTAGGTTTCGGGGCCGGTGTCGAAAATTCTTGAGATTGTAGGAGATACATTTCGGGGTCATATAATGTAGTTTGGAACCATATATGATCATTATATATTGTCATAAATGTTCGTAATAAAAACGAATTAATGAAATCGGTGCAACTTGTAAACCTGTAAATTGGCCGTTTAAAGGAAAATTGGATGGTTCCACCCACCCAATTGGACTCACGGGGGGTATTAGGGACCATGGTAAACATTTCGGCAATTTTTTATTTTCGGCTAAAAAAAGTCGAAAAAAAAATCAAATATTGAAGGCTAATATCCACGATTTTTTAGAAATTTTGTAGGTTTAGGGCCCCGCTGTCGTAAAATCTTGATATTATAGGGGATACATCTCAGGGTCATATAATGCCGTTTGGAAACATATATATATATATAATCAATATATGTTGTCATAAATGTCCGTGGAAGACTCGAGTTAATGAAATCGGTGCAAGTTGTAAACCGGTAAATTGGCTTTTTAAAGGCAAATTGGATGGCTACACACTCCCAATTGGACTCCGGAGGATAACAAGGACCATGGTAAACATTTCAGCAAGTTTTATATTCGTGCCAAAAAAAGTCAAAAAATTCTAAAATTGAAGGTTAATATCCACGATTTTTGATAAAATTTTTAGGTTTCGAGTCCCGGTGTCGAAAAGTCTTAAAATTTTAAGGGATACATCTCAGGGTCATATAATGTCGTTGGAAACCTTATATGATCATTATATGTTTTTATAAATGTTCGTGATAGGCTTGAGTTAATGAAATCGGTGCAAGTTGTAAACTGGTAAATTGGTCGTTTAAAGGCAAATTGGATGGTTACACCCACCCAATTGGACTCCCGGAGGGAATGAGGTACCATGGTAAACATTTCGGCAATTTTTATTCCGAGAGAAAAAAAAAGTCAAAAAATTCCATAATTAAAGGCTAATATCCACGCTTTTTGAGAATTTTTTTAGGTTTCGGGCCCTGATGTTGAAAAGTCTTGAGATTTTAGTGGATACATCTCGGGGTCATATAATGTCGTTTGGAACCATATATGATCATTATATGTTGTCATAAATGTTCATGGTAGACTTGAGTTTATGAAATCGGTACAAGTTGTAAACCGGTAAATTGGTCTTTTAAAGGCAAATTGGATGGTTCCACCCACCCAATTGGACTCCTGGAGGGTATTACGTACCATGGTAAACATTTCGGCAATTTTTATTTTCGGGCGAAAAAAAGTCAAAAAATTAAAAAATTGAAGGTTAATATCCACGTTTTTTGAGAAATTTTGAAGGATTCGGGGCCTGGTGTTGAAAAGTCTTGAGATTTTAGGTGATACATCTCGGGGTTATATAATGCCGTTTGGATTTATATATGATCATTATTTATTGTCATGAATGTTCGTGGTAGGCTTGAGTTAATGAAATCGGTGCAAGTTGTAAACCAGTAAATTGGTCGCTTAAAGGCAAATTGGCTGGTTCCACCCACCTAATTGGGTCACGAAGGTTATTAGGGACCATGGTAAACATTTCGGCAATTTTTATTTCTGGGCGAAAAAAAAGTAAAAAAAAAATTCCAAAATTAAAGGCTAATATCCACGGTTTTAGAGAAATTTTGGAGGTTTCGGGGCCCGGTGTAGGGGATACATCTTGGGGCCATATAATGCCGTTTGGAACCATATATGATCATTATATGTTGTCATAAATGTTCGTGGTAGGCTTGAGTTAATGAAATCGATGCAAGTTGTAAACCGGTAAATTAGATGTTTAAAGGCAAATTGGATGGTTCCACGCACCCAATTGGACTTTAGAGGGTATTATGAACCATGGTAATTATTTCGCCAATTTTTTTTCCCTGGGCCAAAAAAAGTCAATAAATTCAAAAATGGAAGGCTAATATTCACGCTTTTTGAGAAATTTTGGAGTTTTCGGGGCTCTGTGTCGAAAAGTCTTGAAATTCTAGGGGATACATCTCGGGGTTATATATTGCGTTTGGAATTATATATGATCATTATTTATTGTGATGAATGTTCGTGGTAGGCTATAGTTAATGAAATCGGTGCAAGTTGTAAACCGGTAAATTGGTCGTTTAAAGGCAAATTGGATGGTTCCACCCACCCAATTGGAATCTCGGAGGGTATTAGGGACCATGGTAAACATTTCGGCAATTTTTATTCTCATACGAAAAAAGTAAAATAATTCCAAAATTGAAGGCTATTATCCACGTTTTTTGAGGAATTTTGGAGGTTTCCGAGCCCTGTGTCAAAAAGTTTCGGGATCCTAGGGGATACATCTCGATGTCATATATATAATGGTGTTTGGAAGCATATATATATGACTATTATATGTTGTCATAAATGTTCGTTATAGACTTGAGTTTATGAAATCATTATAAGTTACGAACGGGTAAATTGACCGCTTAAAGACATATTAGATGGTTGTACCCAGCCAAACGGACTCCCGGAGTGTATTAGGATTTATGGTAAGCATCTAGACAATTTTTATTTCCGAGTCAAAATAAGTTAAAATTGTCCAAAATTGAAGGCTATAATACACGTTTTTAGGTCAACTTATATGTGATATGTGTTTTATGTGTGTCTATTCATCAATTGATCATAGCTTGATCCTTCTCGCATGGTCTTGTATTTTTAGGCTAGCTCACTTACCTAGTTTAAATAGCTCAGAAACCGAAGATTGTGGTCATTATCACCCCCTATGGAAAAAAAGGAGTATTGGGCGTTTCATTACTTAGTTTTATAATCAAATACCACTCCGAGTTTTTCTTATCTTGTTTCTAGATTATGGGTCTATTTACATTTACTAAATTGAGCTGGACTGGACTGGACTGAATTGAAAATAAGTTGAAGTGAACAAACCCTGTGTATAATAATTATATACTTTACTTGATTTCTTGATTAACTTCTGAGCGGGCCTTGATAAAATGAAATATAATTGCTTTTTTATATCCATACATCTATCAATGGCTTAATGTAATCATTCACGGAGGTTGTTAACATCATGTGATAACAAAACCAAATTAGGCAGTTTTAGTAAGCTAAATTGTCATCAAAGAAAATTGTTACTAATTAGAACTACAATCCATCAACCGAGATGCCACAATCTTCTCAATTAAAGGTGATTGTGTGTTTTGTGTACACCTTAAAATTTGAATCAATGCAAAGAATCATGTGGAAGCACCTATTAATTAAGCTACAATTAAGGTAATAATATAATCAGCTAGATAGCTCCTAAGTGCTTTGGAACTCCCTATCATGTTCTGTAGAGCTTTAAACTATTGCTAAACTGTTGTTAGGTGTAACACTTAGTCAGCAAAGTCACTAATAACCATATAATCTACTTTTTTGTTGGAATTACCCTAATAAAAAAATATTAATTTGTCTCTTAATTGCGTTTTCGAGAATTTTGATTGATGCTTTAATTTGACAGTGGTAGAGGTGATGTAGTAGTGATGGTAGATCTCGATGCAAATTGGAATTAGAAATTCAATTAACCTAGATTTAGTTAATTAAATAATATCACTACTTTGAATTTGACCTAGCATTCTATTAATGGAGGATGGATGTTTTACTGCCGTCAAATGCAAACAAACTAATAAAGTTCGCTATGGGTGAAGACTTGGATTCTGTTTTTTTGAATGTGTTTTTGTCAATAATTTGCGGTTACTTTGAGTTTGAACTCCTAACTCACAAAATCATTCTTAAATATTAGCTGTTGATAAAATAATACTTCGTACTAGTGACTTGGTGAGTACTAACTTTTATTATCTTTGGCAATTTAAAGCAGTAATTAAATAATAAATAACCTAAATACATACCAAACCTTATTAGAGATGATACAATATCACAATGCATGGTATTTCATAATGAGAATAAAGGGTACAAATTGGACCTAAATAAACAAGTTATCATGGTCAAATCCAAGATAGGATTCGAGTTAAGTAACACCTAAATAATAATATTTGTATTTTCTCCATTTTTTATTAGGTGCATCACTTTTGAAATTGCGAATTCATAAGTAATTTTTAGAGTAGAGAGAGATATAGAGAAAACATAAAGAGGATATGAGAGATATACAGAGAGTTTATTGAAACTTTCATATATATAAAAGTAATGCATCTAATAAATTACGGAGGAAAAATATAATCTACAAACCCAATTCAACTTCGCGATCCATATAAATTATCTTATTCTGTTTTTCACTAATCCTATCATAAACTAACTTATAATTTATACTAAAAATCAGCTTATACTATCATATTATTCTTATATCCTTATAGTCGAATTGGTTGAATTCAATTCGACTTCAATTAAAAATCAAGAGTTGAAGACTAAACACTTGTATTAGTCCACAAATTAAGAAACAGACTTTAGAAACAATGGGCGCATCGTCGCCATCCATGTGGAGTGAGTATGCGTCAACCAAAATCCGCGCAACACACACCTTTTACACATCATCCTTACACACACACTCTACTTTTACATGGGTCCCACCCTAAATCCGTAAACCTTATCCTCCTTCTTCTTTATTTTCTCTCTCCAATTTTCTATATATTCCCCTTCTTCTTCCACACTCTTCCTCAGCTTCCCACCATTTCTCTCTCCTCCAAATCTCTAATCAACCCAGATTTTCCTTCATTCAATTCATTGATTCAACCATCTCACTTCATTTTCTCTCTCCTTAATTTCAATGGAGTTCGACAAGAAACACTCGCTTTCACTCAAGCAGAAGATCAAGCTCTTCGTCTGCGCCACCTGCTGCGACGCCGAAGAAGACGACATCGCCGTCCAGAAGAGTCTACAACATTCCGAGAAGAAGCCGAATACATTGTCTTCTTGGTTGAAATCTGAGCTTCCTGTAATCAAAGAGGTTTGTTCTCATGTGTTTTCTGGGAAAAATCGCCGCTCTAATTCGACTGAGTTCAGGTATGATCCGTTGAGTTACGCGCTTAATTTTGAAGATGATGATTCGCACCTCGATGAGTTTCCTCTTCGTGATTTTTGCTCTAGGCTTCCTCCTTCCCCTGTTAAAGCAAACAAAAACGCCGTCGCTTCTACGAACACTGTCAATTGGAGTTGACTGGTGAAATTAATTTTATTTTCTAGGATTTGATTTTTGTCGAAATTGGCGAAATCAATGTAGATTTTGAGAGTTATTTTTCTTAATTTACTTATGACTAGTGTATGTAAATTACAAATTTATGATCAGATTAGCATTATTAGAAAATGATTTGTAAATTGAGATGTGTTCTGGATTGTACATACTAGTATATGATTATAAATTTAGCAGAGTTTGAATATGAAGTTACAATTTGTGCCTTTTATCTGGAAATGCAGTTGATTTTGCTCTTTAATTCATGATTTCTGAACATAATTTAGTGAAAATTAAGGATTAATTATTTTGAATTAGATGTTGATTGCCACGTTTTTCTTTTTAAGATGTCTTAAATTAATTTAAATTAATAATGGAATTCATGACTACTACTACTTTGTATGTAATTGAGTATGTGAGTGGTTTAGTAAACAGAAAAAAGATGCTCAAGTAGTCAAGTTGCTAACTTTTAACGGCCCTTCAAAATCTGATGGAGCCCTTTAAATCTTTTGTGGGGAAAAAGCAAAAAGAGCAATGTACCGTTTTGTAGATGTAAAGTGTAGTGTACTCTTGGCCATTAAATGGGTTATGCCTACTCCCGCTCTAGGCAACAATACCTACACCCCTCCACCCATACTCTATTGAGGTTATATAAAGGGAGGGTTGAGAGATAATAAAATCATATCTCACAAGGACAACATAGGTATTTCAGGCGTCAATTTAAAGTTGTTTTATACTCTTATTGAATTATCAAATAATATCACTGGAGTTTCGGTGGTACAAAATACACTCTCAGTGGTACAAAAATATAGTCTCAGTGATACTTCAAAAAACTCCACTGGACTTTTAGTGGAACAAAATATAAACTCAATGGTAGTGGTCCCCCAAAATTTTTTTGTCCATTTTTGTAAGTGATATGTGTCTGAAAAGTTTAGTGGGGCTCACACTATCTTTTTCACTCTTCCTATCTCTCTCCTCCTTTCTCTCTCTTCCTTATACTTTTATATTATTTTAATAGTTGTGAGACATTTTCAATTGTCTCACAACCCTTGTTTTATACTTCCTCTACTATAATAACCCTTATAGATAAACTCATTTACCACATACTTCGTAGTAAAGAGTAATTGCCATTGCCTACCCCAGAACAAAAATATATATAAAAAAAAAATCATCATTTTCTCTTTCTTCATCCGCCATTTTCTCCCTCCATTTTTGCTTTTAAATTGCTCAATCAAGAAGAACATGTAAATTTGTTACAATATCAACAACAATGAGTGATTTACGAGATGAAATTGCACTAGCGAAAGAAAATTCTCCAACAAAATCAAAATCGTAAGTCTATTTGCTTATTTTTTACGATCGAAATTGAGTACAATAATTAAGAAAAAGTAGCCTTATGGCCCGTTACATGCACGGGTTATTACTTAAAATATTTTCCTTGTAATGTGTTGCTCACTTGTGTTACATGATTTAGCATTGTTTTATTGTACTTTATATATATAACGTGAACTAATTAGCTCAAATTTTATTTTTTTACTATTACTTTATTTTAAGTTTAGGAGATGAAAAGACTACGATTTTATTTTGGTGTAGTTGAAACACTAGTAGAAAATATCAAAAAGCTACCCCCTAATTGGCACCGGTTCAGTCCTAACCGGTGCCAAAAATGGCCTACAAAATTGGTGGGAAACTGAACCAGAGTAAAAGGCACCGGTTCACTTCAAACCGGTGCCAAAAACAAATAGGCCACTGGTTTGAACCGGTGCCTTTTTGAACCGGAGCCATAAAAAATAATAATAAAAAAACCGGTACTTTTAAACCCACGGATCCACCCCAACCCTAAAACTACTCCTCTCATCCTCGTTCTCTTTCTCTCTCCTCTCATCCGCTTTCTCTCTCCTCTCATCTCCTCCTCTTTCTCCATTCTCGATCTCCTTCTCCTCCTTCTATAGTTCTATTTCTATTTATCTTTCTCGATCTCCTTCTTCTCCTTCTAATTCTCTTTAATTTTTCGATCTCCTTCTCCCTCACAATCACGAAGAACACATGCAACATCTCGATTTTCTGGGTTTTTGAAGACCACATGCAACACCGATTTGTGAGGGAATTTATGGGTTTTGTTTTAATTTTTCGGGTTTTTGTTTTAATTTATTTTTTAATCCATTTTTTAAAAATTTTAATCGATTTAAATTCTTTTTTTTTTCTTTTCTGGGTTATTGGTTAGATCGATTTTAATCAAATTTATGGGTTATTGTTTTGATTTCAATCGGATTTTTGGTTTTTTTTTTTTTAAATTTTAATCGATTTTAATTTGAATCGAATTTTTAATCTATTTTTTTAATCAAATTTTTAATCAATTTCGATTTTGATTTTTTTTTTTTCAGATTTTAATCGGATTTTTTTTCGATTTCAATTTTTTTTTTTGTTTCTGGGTTTTTCGAACACCGATTTTAATTTTTTTTCGATTTCTAATTTTTTTGCATTGGTTTTTTTGATTTTAATTTTTTTCAATTTCTAGGTTTATTCGATTTTAATTTTTTTGCATTGGTTTTTTTTTATTTTAATTTTTTCCAATTTCTGGGTTTATTCTAATTTTAATTTTTGCATTGGTTTTTTTGATTTTAATTTTTTTTTCTGGGTTTTTTCGATTTCAATTTTTTCTGGGTTTGAATTTTTTTTCAATTTTTGGGATTAAATTTCTGGGCTTTTTCTTTCGAAGTTTAATTATATTAATTGATTTTTTTTAATTGGTGCAGGTATGTTATTTAGATCTGAAATCGAAGAAGCAAGATACAAGCAAGAATGAATGAGTTTTTTTTTTATTTATTTATATTGTAATTTTTTTTAAAATTTATATTGTAATTTTTTTTATATGCTGTAATCAAAGTTTTTATATGTTGTAATTTTTTTTTATCATATATTGCAAATTTTCGATTCTTGTTGATATGTTGCAAATTTTCGATTCTTGTTGATATATTGTAAATTTTCGATTCTTGTTGATATGTTGCAAATTTGCTGGAAAAAAAAAGGGCATTTTTTTGGCACCGTTTCCAATTTTTGGCACCGGTAAGGCACCGGTGCCTTAGGCCGGGTTTGAACCGGTGCCAATTTCATATTTTCACGTAGTGAAATACTTAATTTCCTTACTTAAATTGCAAGTTACAGAGTGCATAAAGACATGAACTTTATTTTTTGATAAAGAAGGTGGCATGTGGCATATGAGTAATGTATGGTTTGTGTTTTTAAATACTAAAGTATAGATAGATATATATATATATATATAGATAGATAGATAGATAGATAGATAGATAGATAGATAGATATGTGATAGATGAAATTGCGCTAGAATCTGCAAAACAACAACGAAAAATGACGAAAATGACGATTATGGAGACATGGAGTTATGTAGTTGTTAATTGATTTTTTGTAAAAAAAAAAAAAATTAAAAATTAAAATAAACAAACACTTGTGTATGAACAGAGATGACGATTATATTCTCATTCAATCAAGAGTGGATACAATACAAAAAGAGCGCTAAGTTAATTAAATCTCATGTAGTTGTTCCTCAACTTTTAAAAGCTTTTAAAAAAGACATGTTTGTAATTGCAGAGTAAAATGATCATTTACAATAAATTGTATGTTCATTTTTACATGACTTTATTCTTAATTGCCATGTTGAAACCCTATTGAAACACTTGAAAATTGCTTGGAACACTTGGATGACATTGAACATATCTTGGCAAACTCATAGAAACTTGATCAGTTCTTAGAGCACTTGAAGAAACTGGACTTTTCTTAGATCACTTGGAGGAAGTTGATTATTTGTTGCAATAATTTGAACACCTTGAACATTTTTTTAAAAAAATGTTCATTAATATAATACAAAATGATCAAATATAAAACATTGACATACATGTTCAATATATATCTATCATCATAAATGATCATTTATCATTACGTATTTGATCATAATTATTAAAATGAATAACTTAACATTATTAACGAACATGTAGCATCATAAAATTGTTCATTTATCATTATCATTTTGCTTTATGAGTATTCATTTAGCATGAATAAAACTGAACATCTATCGATTAAAAATTTTCATTTAAAATTAATAAAATTGATTTAAAAGTATTATGAAGGATCATTTAGCATTATAAATTGATCACAACACAACTATAAAAATAAATGATTGTTTTGCATTTTTATTATTTTTTTTAAAAAAAACTTGATCAATCTTTCACTGTAGAGGATAATCAAGTAAGGATGTTGAAGGCAACATATATATTGTGCTCAAATTGTAATTTTCATTAAAAACACACAATTATATGATTAGATTTGCAACAAGGAGGATGTATACACACACACACACACTTTATTATATTAAATATAACAAATAATGTTCATTTAGCAAGACACATATTATATGTACATTTTTTGGTTCAATTTCATGTTTATGGAACAATTACATTTAATAGTATAGATGTATAGAAATGCGTTATCACTGTAATTAAAAAATTTATTTTATATTGAAAATTATTTGTTAACAACGTTTTATTTAAATAAATAGATATCTAAGACGTATGTATTGGCATACATCTAACTATGAAACTTACACATAACTCTTGAAATGAATATTTGGTTATACAAAAATGAACATCTGTTGTAACACGGATAAACAAAAATGAACATTGAATGATGCAATATTTCTTATAATAAAAATGATTTGAATGCAGTAATCCTTATAAATAAATTTGTTCTCATTTTTATTTATAAAAAATTCTTAGAATTCAATTCAAAATATATATTAATTTGAACAAAAAACCCCTAGTAATAAAAATGAACATTTTATGATACACAAATGAACATTTACCAATACATTAATGAACATTTTATAAACATTTGCAGAAAATTCGTAAATGAAAAAGGGCGGGGGCAGAGAACACACGCGGAGGGTATGGGGATGCAGGTAGTGTTCCATGCCGTGGGGTGTAGGTAAAAATTTGTACATTAAATATTGTCATCATCATTCCTTATCCCAACCCGTCCCATTGGCCATCAATTACCCATTAACAAGTTTTTCCTCAATTCTTCTCCTCCATCTCTTTCTTGATGACAATCCAAACTCCAAAGTTTCAAGACGAAGCAAACTCTACGGAATTGGAGCACAAGAAATCGCAGAATAAGAAAATGAAGCAAAAAGTGTGTTTCCTTGCAATCGTTATGTTAATTTAGGGTTTATCTTTGAATCTTCTTATCAATTTCTTTCGCAATCTAGGGTTTATCTTTGATCTAATGTTATTTAATTGATAGTGTTTAGGGTTCGATTTCTAATTACTGAGACTACGATTCTAATTTAGATGTTATTTCGTAATAAGCATATTAATTTAAGAATTTGGGTTTATCGTTCTTAGCATAATAAGTTTAGGTTCTTCTTTTTTGAATTGTCAGTAAATAATTTAGGGTTTTCTTTTTTGAATTGTGTAAATGACTACTCTGTGTGAACTTTGCAATGAGAAATATATTAAAGAGGAGATGTTCTTACAAGACAATGAATTAATTTGCCTAGTTTGTGTTGACAAACTTGAACATGATTCTGCTCCAAATGCTATATTGGTATAACTTTACTCTTATGAACTTGCAAACTCACAGGGTATCCGCTGTTCGGATATCAACTGTGATTTCAATTGTAACAATATAGATACTATTCTTGAACACGCAAAGGCACATCACCACAAAAAGTACCAAGATTGTGAAAAACCAAAGTATTTCACAATGCTAAAACCCGTTGACATGAAAAAGCATCTCAAAAAGGAGCATTTGAATAATTATTTCAAATTTAATACCACTTGATAACCAAAAGGTATCTCATCCTAAACCATGAATAATCATGATGTATATGTTAAGTTGCAGGAAAATGCGTAATCAAGCAATAATAATAAATCATGAGTAATCAAGCAACATATAAGAGGAATAAAACATATTAACAAATTATACATAAATTATTCATAAATTAATAATCAAAACTAGGGTAGAGTACGTATTGTACATTTCAATTAAGAAAAAGAATAGCATAAAATTAAAATTGCCAAAAATCAGAAAATATAAATAAAATAAATTAAAATTAATGAAAAAAATCTAATGCAAGGCTCAAACTCGGTCCTTCATAACATAATATGCAAACCAAATGTTGTCCATATCCAAAAAATTAAAAGAGACCACAGCAGACGAAATTACAACTATGGTAGACAAAAGTACCTTGTGATTTACTTTACTCGACTTACGGGTTTTCCCTCGAGCCGCAATTATTGTTGCATCTTTTATCTCATTGCATTTGGAGCATCTATGTCTCGATGTTCCACCTTCCCCGCCCCTAAATCAAGAGAAGATATAGGATCCATTAAATCAAGATATAGGAATAGCATAAAATTAAAATTGCCAAAAATCAGAAAGTATAAATAAAATAAATTAAAATTAATGAAAAAAATGAAAGGTAACTATAGAAATCTTACGCATTTGTGGTAACCGCCATAAAAATGGCAATGATTAAAATTATGGTGAGGACGAGATTTTATGGCGGTTGACAGTAGCGGCGATGTGCTCTGGGGTGGCAGAAGATGTGATGTGAATCGAGTCCCCTTCCTTATAACTATTTTTATTGCTTTATTTAGGTACTCTCTTGGTTTTACCTTACTCTTAAAGTAGGGGTTTTACAAGTGAGTTTTTAATAATGTTTTTATTATTTTCTTAGTAGTAGTTATGGGGCCTTGGGCTTCCAAAGTTGTGTTAATTAATTAGTGGGCTCTCTTGGTTCATTAATTAATTATTAGGGCTTTTTATTTAGTTTGCTTGCAGGGCAAGTAGGATAGATTTATTTTTCCTATATATACTAGTTGTATGTCAATTATTTTAGGAGGATGTTTTATGAATTATAATTTGAGATTATTGAGCTTTTGCTTGAAGAGAACTTTGTTAAGGTTCAAACTAGTTGTTAACTAGGGTTTTGGGATCGTTACTCCTAAAATCAAACTTAGAAGTCGTTGCCTTCTAAGACTATCTTTCAAATTTCCACCATTAAAATCACTCAAATCCTTCCATCAAATATAAACCGTCAAAATACACATCAAATTGGTATCAAGAGCTTAGGTTTGTGAGCCCTCACGACTTACACGATCTTGGTAATTAGAACAATTTTTGGTTGCTTTTCAAGTATTACGGGTGATTTGCAATTAGATTACGGTAGTGTACTTTGTCTTCGAATCTGGAAGTAAGCATTACGTAGTACTAGAGGTACGTAATTCTAGAGTTTTAGTTGGTGAATTTGTCTCTTAGTGCATATTAATTTCTTGATTTACTTGCTGCAAATCATCAAGTTGGTGGAGATAGTGCAACTAATACTTTTGTGCATTCATATTTCGGTACACAGATACACACAAATAAATTTTAGGTATTGATGAATTATTTAAAAAAAAAAAAAAGAATCCCCTGCTAATACAAAATTAGAGTGTTGCGCGAGAGTTGTTATTCCTTGTCCAAATTATTATAAAGGTTTTGTTAGACTAATTTGAGGTTTTTGTCTTAAAATACGGAGGAATAATTTGCTGAAAATTATTTCGACATCATGAGTACTTTAACAAAGGAAGATCTTGATATTATGCTTGTTGATATGATGAGAAATTTTAATGCGAGTCTTGAACGAATGAATGAGAAAATTGAGAAGAGTACACAAGAAATTGCTCAAACCAATCAAAGGGTTGAAACTTTGTCTACTCAAGTGATTGGGGAAGGAAGAATAATCAACAACGAACAACCTAGGGGAATCATGAGAAATTTTCCAATTGACAATGATCGAGATTTGAAGTTGTTGGAACTTCCGGAATTTACAGGTGATGGGGATGCCGAAGACTTTTTAGATTGGGTTCGTCAGATGGAAAAGGTCTTTG